ATTTTAGTAATGCCTGAGATTAAAGACTGACCGAACTTCGGCTTCGGTTTCGGCACCGAGATTTGTCATTTGATACTTTTCGGCCTAGTTTCGGTTACGGCCGAAACAGAAACGTTAACTTTCGATTTAATTGTGGACTATACCGGGTGGCACCATCTCAGGGGATGACACCGAATTGAAAAAATGCCTATTGACAGAGCACTCACTCACTGCTCGATCCCGGGTGGCACCATCTCAGGGGATGACACCGAATTGAAAAAATGCCTATTGACAGAGCACTCACTCACTGCTCGATCCCGGGTGGCACCATCTCAGGGGATGACACCGAATTGAAAAAATGCCTATTGACAGAGCAGTCACTCACTGCTCGATCGAACCGAAGTCATCCAAAGATAACCGATCACCCGCCCCCCCCCCCACCCATGCTCACCAATCCAAATGCCAGCTTTAGTCAAAGTTGAAGGTTGATGTCTCAGAAATGAGGTAACCCTATATTTACGTCATAAGTAAAAGGAAGCTATATTTATCTAAATTCTGAGAAATAAAGCTTTCCATTGATATCAAACACGGTGTGGTCGGGTGATTTTAAGTACATGAACCGAATCGGTAAAAATTAAAAACATTTTAAAAAGTGACTTTTTACCAATTTTTAGGGTTAACAAAATATTAATTTACAACACTTTCTAATATCTTTGAATCATTAATTTAAATATAGACTATGTAATTTTTTTTAAAAATGTTCTTGAAACCAAATATACCGAAGCCCAGGAATACTAAACAGTTACCATTGTCTCCGCTTTGTCCCTAGCCTTTAACATTTTTGGTTGATTACTTTTTTTTTTTAATTAAGGAACCTTAGGCTTTTTTTCAATTCATTAATTCTTAACATTCATCATTATCATGCTCATAAAGACATTGCTATTGATGAAATAACATGCGCATGCATGTAGCACGGGTTCGTATTATAAATTATTTAGTAGGCCTACTGCAGACTTAATGATTTTGGCGACCAATTTTGATGTCTCGTGGGATTTTCCATCGAGACCCATCAGTACAACAATTTAAGAGACCCGGTTAAAAAAGTATTTCCCCTACCAATGTGGGAGTGAAGGAGGTTGGTTGCCGAACGAAATAATTACGTCAACAGCACGAAAAGACTAGTGGGTTGGTACTAGGCTAAATATTTAGACAACGACATCTTGCCAGCTATTTTTAAAAACACAAGGCATTAGTATGACGATAACCGCGAAACATTGTGATGATATCTCTATAGCCTTAATAACTGATGTTTAGGTGGCAACTGGCTCTATTAAAACCACAATAATTATTGTAGGTATACGTTCTAGATTGTAATTATATTATAAAAGAAAAGGCACTCTGGGGTCTATTTTGCGTGAATTTTTTCTCAACCTCCCCCCGTTCCAAATTTTCCCTTACCATACTAGTTTAAAAACATTTTAAAGGAATTTAAATTAATTTTAAACTAAAATGGTACAAGCTAAAGTATTCATTAAATGTTTAGTTATTAATATTCCCGGTGATTTCATTTTTTTATAAATATATTGTAAATATTGATACTCTCCCCCATCATTTTCGATGTATGCAGAATGTATGCGTAAACGAATGTCAAAATATCTAAATATTTTGGCTTCGGTTTCGGCCGAAAGTCTCGTTAAGCTTTTGGTTTCGGCTTCGGTTTCGGCCGAAAGTCTCGTTAACTTTGGTTTCGGCTTCGGTTTCGGCCAAAAGTCATATTTAACTTTCGACCTAGTTTCGGTTTCGGCCGAAATCTGAAAATCACTTTCGGTCGGTCTCTATCTGAGGTAAAGGGCACATTTAATGACAAAGATAAATGATAGAGTTCACATTTAAAAGTTGTCCCATGAAATCGGTTTAAATAATCAAACGTTCTAGAAAATTCTAGATCGGCCATAAACGTATCGGTTATTATGATTAATTTTCAATCCACTGATATCCGGCACTTCGCTACTGGCTATGAAGACAATTGCTGTCAAGCAAGTCCTACATCCATCAATTCGTATAAAACCTATAGTGTTGTATTAGGCTATTTGTATTCATATAGCTTATATAAGATAAATGAAATGGGGCCCCGACCCCAAAGGAGTTGATCTTATGAGTTCAGTACCCTTCGATATTTGAATATGGATAATCAAGTGTATTTGTACTAATTTTGGTCAAGATCCATTTGTTCATGTTGAAGTATTTGTTGTTAATTTTATTTATATAACTGGTCAAAAAAAAAAAACCAAAAAAAAAACAAAACAAACCCTTCGATATTTGAATATGGATAATCAAGTGTATTTTTACTAATTTTGGTCAAGATCCATTTGTTCATGTTGAAGTATTTGTTGTTAATTTTATTTATATAACTGGTCAAAAAAAAAAAAAAAAAAACTCAGGTCCCCGACCCCAAACGAAATATAAAGTTTTAGCATTCCTCGAGGATAATAATGGAAATAAGTGCCACTTTTGGTCAATATCCATTAATTAATGTAAAAAACGTATGTGGAACAAAGCAATTATCACTTTTATATAATAATATAGTCTAGCTAATATACCCGTCATTTCCCGAAATTGCATTCGGGAAAAAAACTTCGACAGCCTTTAAATTACTATTGAAGTTACCATTGAAATTACCATTGAAGCTACCATTGAAATTACCATTGAAATTACCATTGAAATTACCATTGAAATTACCATTTAAATTAACATTGAAATTACCATTTAAATTACCATTGAAATTACCATTGAAATTACCATTGAAATTACCATTGAAATTACCATTTAAATTACCATTGAAATTACCATTGAAATTACCATTTCAATTACCATTGAAATTACCATTGAAATTACCATTGAAATTACCATTGAAATTACCATTGAAATTACCATTGAAATTACCATTTAAATTACCATTGAAATTACCATTGAAGTTACCATTGAAATTACCATTGAAATTCCCATTTAAATTACTATTGAAGTTACCATTGAAATTACCATTGAAATTTCCATTTGAAATTACCATTTAAATTACCATTGAAATTACCATTTAAATTACCATTGAAGTTACCATTTAAATTACCATTGAAGTTACCATTTAAATTACCATTGAAGTTACCATTGAAATTACCATTGAAGTTACCATTGAAATTACCATTGAAATTACCATTTAAATCAATATTAAAGTTACCATTGAAATTACCATTGAAGTTACCATTGAAATTACCATTGAAATTACCATTGAAATTACCATTGAAATTACCATTGAAATTACCATTGAAATTACCATTGAAGTTACCATTGAAATTACCATTGAAGTTACCATTGAAATTACCATTGAAATTACCATTGAAATTACCATTTAAATTAACATTGAAATTACCATTGAAATTACCATTGAAATTACCATTGAAATTACCATTGAAATTACCATTTAAATTACCATTTAAATTACCATTGAAATTACCATTTCAATTACCATTGAAATTACCATTGAAATTACCATTGAAATTACCATTGAAATTACCATTGAAATTACCATTGAAATTACCATTGAAATTACCATTGAAATTACCATTGAAATTACCATTTAAATTGCCATTGAAATTTCCATTGAAATTACCATTGAAATTACCATTGAAGTTACCATTGAAATTGCCATTGAAGTTACCATTGAAATTATCATTGAAATTACCATTGAAATTAAGCGACATGTTTTTTTAAAAAAACGCTATTGTAAAAAAAATATGAATTTGTCTCCCCTAAAAAAACAGAAGTGAACATGATGATGTAATTAGCGGATATTGTTAAAATGGACAATTCATATTTGAGAATAATGTTTCTCTCATACTTAAGTGATTAAATGATCGTTAAGGAAGACCGTTTTAAAAAAGATGCCAGAGCAACTCCAAGAGAGACTTGATGAGACGGCTACAAGTAACACGGATAACTTTTGTCACGAAATCTCACCGTTCAGGAAGTTTGCTGTGTCAACGGACGAGAAAGGCTGGTGAATTTTTCTTTAATGAGAAGAAAGACATGTTCACCAGAGTGTGCTGCATTCGTCCATATGACTTCTACGACAAAATCCTCAACTCAACATCACCGTTACGCCCGTTCTCAAAACGCTTCACTGAGCCAGATATGCGAGCCAGGGTAATTTATTGTTGAAAATTTGGGCTATGGTCTTCGAGGATTTATTAAGGCATGTGTCCTTCTCAGTCACATTGACTTAAAAGACCATTAGGATTTCCCATCTCTTGACAGAAAACCTTTCTAGAACCGTGTTCTTTGTGCCGTTCATTTATAGATAGATATAATGGATCTTTTTCAGCCTGCAAATCTCACTTTATTTGTAGTCCCCTTTCATTGAGTTAATTGCGTCGGGTTGATACTCTTCTTATTGTTTGATTTTTGTATTGAATTATCTGTGCAATTTCCCTTTAACTACGCACAAAGCATTTACTCTCTAATAAGTCGTGTGTCTTATTGACTAAGTTTTACCGTAGTTTCAATTTGACGAAAATTGAACTCACATAGAACTCAGATACCCGGCAGCCATCGTGTACATAAAAGACCGAAACAGCAAAAAAATGGCAAAGATTGGATAAAGAACGAAACCGTCTTCCAAGATGACAAGTACTGACATGATGACACACAGAGTGGTCGAAATAGCCAGTGGGGTCACTGTGGGCATCATGTGACGACGTAAAGTGGATAGGCTCTCTGGAAGTAAAATTGCGTCACCCGATTAGAATTGTCTGCGTCTTGCAATGCTTTAGTTTCAGCAATTTTATTTTAAAATATTTGCGTACAATTTTTTTGTTTTTCCGTAAAATAAATTGTAGATATTTGTAATATCCGTCCATAAAGTTGATTTTTTATCGGTTGCTAACCCTGACCCTCAAAAGGTTATAATTTTTGTATTGAAAAATAAAACAGCGACTTTTTACTGAATCCTGTCTATTCGACTTACTTATGAATAGTTTAACATTGAGTCCAAAAATTAATCCAACGCAAGGGGACACGACAAGTCCTCCCATCATAGTGTAGAGAAATACGTTTGTGTAATGGCTGACTGTAAGGACATCATGGGACATGTTTGATCACAATGGTAAGGGTAGAATGAATAATTCAGGGGCATGATATAATGAAATGACAAAAGGACATTGTAAAATTGTATGGTCCAGTCACATAAAATGAGTTGGACCAGTAACAGGATTAAATGTCTTGACTCAGTGATAAAATCAATAGAAATTGTACAGGTAATAAATTAACAGAAAATTCACTAAATTAAATATAAACCATATTTAGTTATTGTAAAAATGCAAATTATGTTCTTTAATTGCATAAGTCTATTGGGTGTAATACGACAATACGACATTGATTAATACATTTTTATTTTTAAAAATGAGGAATAAAATATCTATTTGAATCCTTAGCCTGATTGACTGAAACAAAATATGTGATGTGGATACATTTTTATGTTATAACACACTACTTAACCGCATACCTTTGTCATTACTAACAAGGGTCTCAAACGATTTGTTCACAGAGCCCATGAAATAATAGAAGCGCAGCTGTAGGACGGACATCCAGAAGACGTGAAGCAGATACGTCATGGAGAAGACGTGCTTAAAGAGGTTGCGAAAGCTGCCATCTTTGATGACGTCATTTACTTGTCCAACAGTTGAACGTTCTCGACTGATTTCATCTAAAATATTAGAGTTGTAAAAAGTTTTTGAAGCCACAGTGCGCTAACTCTCCAAACAGAATACTCAGCCTAATCCCCCAAACCAAGGGCGCCAACTCTCCAAACAAAATACTCAGCCCAATCCCCCAAACCAAGGGCGCTAACTCTCCACACAGAATACTCAGCCCAATCCCCCAAACCAAGTGCGCTAACTCTCCACACAGAATACTCAGCCCAATCCCCCAAACCAAGTGCACTAGCTCTCCAAACAAAATACTCAGCCCAATCCCCCAAACCAAGTGCGCTAACTCTCCACACAGAATACTCAGCCCAATCCCCCAAACCAAGTGCGCTAACTCTCCACACAGAATACTCAGCCCAATCCCCCAAACCAAGTGCACTAGCTCTCCAAACAAAATACTCAGCCCAATCCCCCAAACCAAGTGCGCTAACTCTCCACACAGAATACTCAGCCCAATCCCCCAAACCAAGTGCGCTAACTCTCCACACAGAATACTCAGCCCAATCCCCCAAACCAAGTGCACTAGCTCTCCAAACAAAATACTCAGCCCAATCCCCCAAACCAAGTGCGCTAACTCTCCACACAGAATACTCAGCCCAATCCCCCAAACCAAGTGCGCTAACTCTCCACACAGAATACTCAGCCCAATCCCCCAAACCAAGTGCACTAGCTCTCCAAACAAAATACTCAGCCCAATCCCCCAAACCAAGTGCGCTAACTCTCCACACAGAATACTCAGCCCAATCCCCCAAACCAAGTGCGCTAACTCTCCACACAGAATACTCAGCCCAATCCCCCAAACCAAGTGCACTAGCTCTCCAAACAAAATACTCAGCCCAATCCCCCAAACCAAGTGCGCTAACTCTCCACACAGAATACTCAGCCCAATCCCCCAAACCAAGTGCGCTAACTCTCCAAACAAAATACTCAGCCCAATCCCCCAAACCAAGTGCGCTAACTCTCCAAACAGAATACTCAGCCCAATCCCCCAAACCAAGTGCACTAGCTCTCCAAACAGAATACTCAGCCCAATCCCCCAAACCAAGTGCGCTAACTCTCCAAACAAAATACTCAGCCCAATTCCCCCCCCAAGGGCGCTAACTCTCCAAACAAAATACTCTGCCCAATTCCCCCCCCCCCCAAGGGCGCTAACTCTCCACAAAGAATACTCAGCCCCAATTCCCCAAACAAACACCACAAAAAAGAATAGATATCAAGATAAATGTTAGTGCATTTATTTATTGTTTGTTTGCTTCGTATACAGTCTTCTCCTTTAATTAGTGTCGTGTATTAACAAAGACTGTATAATCTTACTCTAACAAGATAAATATTAAGATTCTTTTATTAACCCAAATAAAGGGAAATGTTTTTTTATTGCATTGTACATATACATTTTGAGGAAATAAATAAATACATGTTTTAATGAAGTCAAAATTTTCGAACTAAAACAATTTAAACACGAGACATTAACTTATTTCTCTAGTCAACTCTAGTGTAAAAAAACCAGTCAATCAGTGAACTCCTTTACTCATAATAGGGACTTAATTAGTGATCATTTGGACTTAATTAGTGATCATTTAGATTGTGTGACCTCAGGGGGAGCACGCTGTGTAATTCGTACAGATTGGGGAACAAACGAATTTTATATATATTTCAGTCCGCTCCTTAAGAGAAAGAATTCGATTGTGATGGCGAGGAAGGGATGTATCATTAAAAATTTGTTTAGTTTTACAACAACATTTTTCTTCAAATAGTTGTGCAAATTTATTTATCAATCGATGTTTCCATTAAGTAGACCCTGCTTTGGTCTAAATCCAACTTCATCTGACCAAACAAGTCGACCAGGCATCAACGTTAGGATACACAATTTGACCAAAACTTAGCGTCAATGATACGAAAGTTGACCAAACATGACCGTCAATGACGCACACATTTTTCCGACAGTTTTACTCACTGTTGGCAACAGGGACTTCGATGGTTCTAACATTTTTAACAGGAGGGAGCTTGTTGATAAAACCTCGCGGTAAAAAACAGAGCGTTGACACAAACGTCAGGACGTGGGTACAGGCGATGATCAGGTAAGACGTCTGTCTCGTGATGCCGTTCTCGTAACCAAGCTGTGGACACAGGCTTTTTGAAATCGCATGAAAACCTGACCAGTATTTACAATCTGCCGCTCTGGGGCGAATAAGCCAAATAATAAACTAATAAGTAACATATGATCCACAGCCGCCTGCGTGTTTGAAAAAATTGTTTAAAGATACGTTACGAATGGGTCAGTGTTTTGTACTCACTCAAATAGCATCAGAAGAAATTGCCTTGTCCAGAGACAATAAGACCGATTTAATTGTTGGAGTATTTCACTTGGTGTTTAAAGACAATAAGACCGATTTCATTGTTGGATTATTTAACTTGGAGTTTAGAGACAATAAGACCGATTTAACTTTTGGATTATTTCACTTGGTGTTTAACGACAATAAGACCGATTTCATTGTTAGATTATTTCACTTGGTGTTTAAAGACAATAAGACCGATTTAATTGGTCGATTATTTCACTTGGTGTTTAGAGACTATAAGACCGATTTAACTTTTGGATTGTGTCCATAAAATTATTAGGTTCTATCTTGTATAGCGTCACCCCACCCCCCACCTCCGGTAATTAAATGGTCCATGATAGAAGACACACAGCCGACCAATCAGATCCTAACTTTGAAGTTCAGACACCCGATTAATCAGCTTCAATTTTAACGAATTTCACCCAGTAACAATTGGTCTATTTTTTAACATCTCCGAGCCTTCCTTAAATCATTCTCATGCGTCACGTTACTTATTAATTATGCTATCAACATTCAAACGATGCAGTGGGTTACTAATTTACGAGGTATTCATTTTTCTTAAAGTGTCAAACCTTAACCATGAGTTGAATGCCTGCTGAAGAATCGAATCCACCACACAGCAAACCGATTACTGCCGCTCCCCTAACGGGGAATAAGTTTGCGATTTGAAAGTTTGTCAGCTGGTAAGCAATTCCACCAAAACCGAGAGCTGACAGGCCAGGAAAGATAAGCCATGGTGTCTCTGGAATAGTAAGGAAAGATAAGCCATGGGGTCTCTGGAATAGTAAGGAAAGATAAGCCATGGTGTTTCTGTAATTGTAAGGAAAGATTAGCCATGGTGTGCATGGGCGCCCGCAGGTAGGGGCAAGGGGGGCACTTCCCCCCCCCCCCGGATTGATTGGGGAAAAAAATGTACAAGAATAGACAAAAAATTTATTAGAGTAAAGAGAAAATAAAGAGAAAGTAACTAAGCTGATGATGGGGTTTCTGTAATTGTAAGGAAAGAGTAGCCAGGGTGGGCATGGGCGCCCGCAGGTAGGGGCAAGGGGGGCACTTCCCCCCCCCCCCCGGATTGATTGGGGAAAAAAATGTACAAGAATAGACAAAAAATTTATTAGAGTAAAGAGAAAATAAAGAGAAAGTAACTAAGCTGATGTCCTGTCCGTTCGTTCACCATATAAATACGCTACAGTAAATTAAAACTATATTAAAACATTACTAAACATTTTTTGCCCCCCCTGGAAAGTTAATTGATTTTTTTTGCCCCCCCCCTAGAAAGTTTTCTGCGGGCGCCCATGATGGTGTGTCTGTAATTGTAAGGAAAGATAAGCCATGGTGTCTCTGTAAATATAAGGAAAGATAAGCGATGGTGTCTCTGCAATTGTAAGGAAAGAGAAGCCATGGTGTCTCTGTAATTATAAGGAAAGATAAGCGATGGTGTATCTGCAATTGTAAGGAAAGAGAAGCCATGGTGTCTCTGTAATTGTAAGGAAAGATAAGCCAAGGTGACTCTGTAATTGTAAGGAAAGATAAGCCATGGTGTCTCTGTAAATATAAGGAAAGATAAGCAATGGTGTTTCTGTAATTGTAAGGAAAGATAAGTCATGGTGTCTCTGTAATTGTAAGGAAAGATAAGCAATGGTGTTTCTGTAATTGCAAGGAAAGATAAGCCATGGTGTCTCTGTAATTGTTAGGAAAGATAAGCCAAGGTGACTCTGTAATTGTAAGGAAAGATAAGTCATGGTGTCTCTGTAATTTTGAATATTCAAAAGACTTTCTTTTCATTGGAAGTAGTAACTAGTATAGAAAATTAGATATAGTAACTAGCATAGAAACTTTGGGTGTAGCAACTAACATAGAAACATTAGATGTAGTAACTAGCATAAACAACTTTGGATGTAGTAACTAGCATAGAAACTTTGGATATAGTAACTAGCATAGAAACATTAGCTGTAGTAACTAGCATAGAAACAAGATGTAGTAACTAGCATAGAAACTTTGGATGTAGTAACTAGCACAGAAACATTAGTTGTGGTAACTAGCATAGAAACATTAGATGTAATAACTATCATAGAAACTTTGGATTTAGTAACTAACATAGAAACATTGGAAGTAGCTACTAGCAAAGAAACATTGGATGTAGTAACAAAACATAAGCAGTGCCGTCTTAAGGCATGGGCACAGTGGGCATTTGCTCATGGCCCCGCGCTTCTAGTAGACCCACTCTTATAAAGGCTTCATGTTGTAAATATTGTTAATGAATATTGAAAAGTTTTGCTAATTAAATTTGATTTAAAAATCAGTGGACAACACGTTTCCCAATTTGAACCCACGATTTTATTGGCACGTTCCAGAATATTTCTTGACTTGTTTATTGTGCTCTGTTCTTTGTGACATTTTCATTTCTACTGTTAGCTGAAGAAGGCTTTATGACGAAACGTCCTTGTCTTTTTGTCCTGTTGTCTAATTCAAGCTTCCACTTACCTCGTTTTCCTAGTTTATTCATTTACTAGGCTTGAATGTAGTCTTTCAATGGATATGTATGTAGTAACTAGCAAGAACCATTACACATAGTGACTA